TAATGCAACCATTAGCTGAATGTACTATCAATAAAATTCTGGGTCACAAGTACTCACCTTAATATTTAAAAAAAATAAAAATAAAATAAATTTTTTTTTTATTAAATTCATTTAAACTTATAGTTATTAACATTAAAATTTTAACAATAAATTTTTTGGCATTAATAACTATAGGTTTAAACAAATATAATAACAAAAAACTATCTATAAAATATTTTGCTATTAAGAAGTTATATAAATTCAAAAATTTTCTTAAATAGTACAAATTATATAAACACTACTGTATGTAGTAAGTTTTTTCTTTAGAAATATTATTTGTATTAAATTTTGCTATTAAATAGCTTTTAAAATAAGTTATTTTTTATAATATATTTATAATTTAAATAAAAATACACTATTATCAAAAGCTTAAGATAGTATTTTATAAGTCACAAGATTTTTTATTAACTTGAAGTTTCACTATTTTTTTTACTTTAAGGCATTATTTAAATCAATTTTATTTTATTAATTTATTATTTAATTAAATTATTTTTTGTTAATATTAAATATTTATATTTGATAGCAATTTTATTTCAAAAGCTTTTTAATTACAAAAATAAAATTTTGTATTTAAATTTATAATAATTTTTTTTTTTGCTTTCACTAAGGCTGTTAGTTATCAGTAACTATTGCTTTTATTAAGATTTTAATTATGATTATATAACTTGTACAAAGTTACCCCTATACTATATCTAACAAAAAGTGCATAAGTTCCTATATACTGAAGTGTTGTATAATCTAATTCTAATCTTCTTGTCTATAGATCTGTTAAGCTATTATATATTTCAAAGTACATCACGTTACTATAAAGCTTTAGAGAACCCTTTTGCTAACTAACTACTCAAATTTAATCTTTTGTTAACAGAGTTTGCTTTTACAAAATTTATCCAAATCCTAGTACTAACTTCATAACATATTCTTATTACTTAGCTATACTTTGCTTTAGTCTTTAGACTTCTAATTTTGATAGTCTAAAAGAACTGTAATCTGTTTTTAGTATACTGAGGTTTTATTTTTCAAGATTTTTTTTTCTGATTTGAGACTTTTGGCAGTCTAGTTGGTAGTATTCTTTATTCAAGATTCTTGTTTGCCCAATTCTTTGTACATTAATATTTATTTTCTAGGTCTAGCCTTTATAATAGTACTGTTAAAAATCTATATTATCTCTTTGTTCAGGTTTTTTTAAATAGGCTCTAGCTTCTAAGTTCTATAGATTTATATAATCACAAGAACTTATTTTGAGTTTGCATTGCTTAATACTGGTTTGTATTTTTCTGTATAACTTCAATATTGTATAAATACTTTATAACCTGCTAGTTATGCTAGTATAATTATAGTTATAGGTATTTTATCTTAACTGATCGACAAAATGCTATTGCTATAATACCATCTATATATTATATAGATTATCATTTAAATTTTTCACTGGCAGTAGGTTTTGAACTTCCAACCTACCACTCGAAGAGTTGATAACTTATTTACTTTACTAAGTTGCCACATCTCTTTATAATAAAATATTAAATATTACAATTTCAATTTCTAATAATCTTATATATACTAAGTATAAATTGAAATTTTCTGCACTTATTTTTAACAACTTATTATTTATACTTTGATTTCTAAGAGTATAAGTTCTGCCAAAGTCTCAAGTATATCTTATTTTTATTATTAATTTTGTTACAATATATTTGCAATTATTTGAATAAAATACTTTTTATTTTTTTTAAAACATCAATGCCTAATTGATTATATTTAGTACTGCCAAAACTATAATATAAACTTTTTCTTTGTCAATATTAGAAGAGAATTGTTTACTATAAAGAGAATAGTAGATTTCAAACTAGGAGTTAAAATAGGTAAGAGAATTTTTAGTAAAGAAATACAAAATTATTTGAGAAAAAGAGTTTTAGAAATATTGAAAAAAAGTTTAATATTAAATTTAGCATTAGATTGAATTGTAAGATATTTTTGTTTAAGATCTGTAGTTTAAGTAAAAGATTTAATTTTGAATCTTTTAAATCTGAACTGTAGATCCTTAGCAAATTTTTGATAATTAATTAACTAGTAGTTATTAGATAAGAAAAGATATAGGCATGCAAAATTAAAACAAAGTTGAAGATGATTATAAGCTGTATATAAAGAAATAGTAATTAATAAAGCCAAATTTTCAAATAATTAAGTTTAGTAAAGAGAATAGTTGTAAATTTGAGAATAAGGTTTTTTAAGATGAATTCAAGAAGGTTAAAAAAGATAGTAATGCTCTTATTGATATTAGGATTGCTGTTATAAATAAGATTAGTTAAGAATTTAGGCTGTTGCATAGCCATAATATAGATAATGTAATAAAATAAAGCTATAACTACTGATTTAACTTAATTTCTTAGTTAGGATAAAAATCATAAAGAAATTTTTTAAGAATGATGAAGAGTTAAAAAGAAAATAGGGTTTGCAGTTTTTTGTTAGGTTTTATTTCTTCAATAATAGGAAAATTTGTAATTCAATCATATGTGAAATTAGATTTTAGTTTAAGAATACTAGAATAAGTTTGATAAGAAGGTTTGTTAACAGTTTTGTCAAGTTAATTAGAGTTGCTAGAGTTGTTAAAGTTTAAGTTAGTATTGTTAACAATGTTAATATTAAGAAATAAATTTAAAATAAGATAAATATAAGTAGTTGTAATAAAAAAAAATTAATAAAATTAGAGATAATTGAATTTTGGTATAAAGATGTAATAAGAGAATTAGTAGTTTGGAAAATTTTATGTAAGATGTTTTGATAAGTTTGAGTAAGTTTTTTCTTAGTTTGAGATAAGCTGACTTTATATTGAGATAAGGCAGTCATGCAGATATGATAATAGACTTCATTATTTTTGATGATGTATTTTTTAGTAAAAAAATAAGACTCATTTTTCTTAATACAACCAATTAGAACATAGCATTTAGGATAAGTATAGTAGTATATATTTGGTATAAGAAATGAAGAAATACTATTATTAAAGAAAGAAATATTAGTTATAAGTTGTTAAGTTGTTCTATTAAGCTTTTTAGAGTTGCTATTAATGTGAACAGTAGTGAATTCAGTAGCTTGGGTGTAAGTAATACTAGTAGGTAAGATAAATTTAATATAATATTTGTCACAAAAGCAAGTAATTACAAAGGTAAAGATAGAAACTTAAAAAAAATAAGTAATTTTATATAATCAAAAATTTTTAGTTAAACAGGTAGTTAGTTGGATTTTAGAAGAAATTGAACATGTCTTGTATTTATTTTTCTTTTTATAGAAGGCAATTCCAAAACTGTTAGAAAAATTTTGGTAAAAATAGTTAAGATCTGCAATGTCAGGCTCTTAATAAGTTAAAGTAGGCATTTTAAAGTATTAAAAAGTTAAATAAGTATGTAATTAAAAACTTAGAAAAATTTTTTAAATAGAGAATATAGTTGTAAATAATTAATTTTACAAGAGTTGTAGATGAGTATAAGAATTGTAGTTTAAAGATGTTTCTAAAATGACACTAATGTGTAACAGAGGTGAATAGGTTCACTAATATGACTCAGGTACTAAACACAAATAGAATTTGTAGTACAAATTATTGTGTAATACTAGTAAGTACTAAATATAAAAATAATTAATTGTGTGAATAGATTTCTATTAATAGATAGGTTACAAAATATTAAACAAAAAATAAATAAAAAATTTTTGCAAGAGAGTAAATGTTAAATTTAGTTGTAGTTTAGTTAATATTAAGTTAAAAATCTTTGTATAGAGCTTGTTTTAACTAGTTAAATATGTATTATAACTTTAATTAAAAGTAAAGAATAGGTTAAGATAATAGAAATTGTAAGATAGTTAAAAGTTATAAACTGGAGACCAAAGGCTATTAGTATAGTTTTCTTGATGAGTTTGAAATATAAAAGCTTAATATTTGCAGACTATATGTAAAATAATGTACTGAACAAGTTTCTTAAGAGCCCAAAACAGTTTGTCTTAATAAAATAAATAATTATAAGTGTTTTCTGATAAATAAATTTTTTAATTAATTTTTATACAATGGATTTGCAAAAAAATTTTTTTTTATATCTATGTTTGTTTTTTTAACTGATCTAGCAGATATTTTTTATTATAAAATTTTATAAAATTTAATTAAAATTTTATTATATAACCTAGCAGATATTTTTTCATTGCAAAATTTTGTAAAATTTAATTTCTTATCTTAATTTTGATAACAAACAATATAGAATTCTTTTAGTTTTAATTGTTACTAAAACAAGAATTATTTGTTACCAAAATTAGAATTCAAAATAAAACCATAATCTAATATATAATATTGTATAAAATAAGTTAATTGTATAGTATAAAAGTGCCTTTTTATTTACTAAATGTTTTATTTTACATGTAGTTACTTATCATTACAAATTCTGAATTTATATTCTAATTATATTTTACAAAATTCATAGTTTACTTCAACAAGTTCTGACAAACAAGAATTATTACAAGATATTTTTACAACAAATGTCATCATATATTGAATATATAAAGGAACAATTATATACTAAAAAAAAAGAAAAATATGATAAAAATATGAAGTAAAAAAAAAAGAAAAGAAGAAATATTTGTAAATTAAACATTATTAATTAAAACATATCCACAAATCCAGCTTAATTGAAGACTATCCTCATCAAGACGGTTACGAGAACAATCAATATCTTAATGTAATGGTGAGAACCATTTTAATTGATAAAGAATTCGTGAATTTATATTATGAAATATGCGATAACTTTAATGATCTCATAATTCAAGGTGATTTTCCCATTAAACCTGATAGTGAATCAGACGCTGTGAATATGACTTAGAAAGTTAATTGATCTTGAGTTTAAATTAAATAGCAATATTATTGTTGACATTTTCACCTCTTTAAACATAGGTTACAATAAATTGACAAAATTTTAGAAGAATCGTTTAGAGAAATTACAAACCTGATGAAAACTTTTTAAACGAATATTTAAATCTAAGATATTTAAGGGAATGAGAATTTAATCCTCGTATTGTAACTGATCTATTCGCATAGGTTTTTAACAAGTTTTTTTTTTTGAATTCTTTGATATAAAAAATATACAAGTGAATCTCGATATAAGAAAGGTGGCCAAGTCCATAGTAAAAATTTTACTGAACTTTCTTATATTAAGAGTTTATTAATAACTTTCTTATATCGAGTGGATTTTACTATATACAGGTTTTGGCTTGACTTTCTTATATCGAGA